TGAGGGCTCCGGCGATCCTTCCGCCTCAGCCTTCCGAGTAGCCGGAATTACAGGCATGCGCTACCACACCCGGCTGAGTTATGATTTATTGTATAGATGAGGTCTCGCCTGCCCAGGCGGGTCTAGAACCTGCGGGCTCAGACAATCCACTCACCTCAGCCTCCCAAAGGCGCGGAATTACAGGCTGAGCCACCGAGCCCGGCTGAGAAATATGAATAAAGATCAAATCAATCTGCCTGCTCAAAACTTTTATATTAAATATCACTAAAAATAGAAGGAAAAGTAGGAAAGGCTATTTTAAGACAATTTGTTATAAACAGATAAAAATAAGGCCAGGCGTAGGGGTTCACGCCTATAATCCCAGCACTTTGGGAGGCCGAGGTAAGAGGATTGCCTGAGCCTAGGGGTTTGAGACCAGCCTGGGCAACTTGGTGAACAACTCCCATCTCTATAATAATTCAAAAAATAAGCCGGGCGTGGTGGCATGTGCCTGTAGTTCCAGTTACTTGGAAGGTTGAGGCAGAAGGACTGCCTGAGCCCAGCAGATCGAGGCTGCAGTGGCCAGGAGCATGCCACTGCCCTCCAGCCTGGGTGACAGAGTGAGGCTCTTACTCAAAAAACAAACAAAAAACTTAGATAAAAATAGTTGATACCTGGCTCTTTCCCTCCCTCTTTCTAACCCCCACCCACATGCGCCTTGACTTTTAATTGTTCCGTGATGCTTTCACTTCTGAACAACTTGTAAGTACTAATGATTATCCAACAAAATAAACAAGGTTTCCGGTTTCAATACTGTGGGTGTTCCATCTACTCCTTGGTTCATTGGTAAATATATAATAACGCACATATTTTCTAAATACGAAACTTATTTCTAAATTTATTTTTCACTAAAAGGGAAACACTAATTTATGAGCCTGAACTCCCCTCTTTGTTAAGAACTACTGGCAATTAATTTGTGCTTACTGAAATCATGTCATTTTTCCAAATTTGTATTTTAGGCTTCCCTAATTCTAGAACAGGCTATATATTGTTTAAAAAGTGAAAATTATTTCTAAAAGACAAGAGTATAGACACTAAACTTTAGTCATATGAACTGACTTGGCCAAACACTAAACTCTCTAATCCAACAAAACTTTTAAAAACCATCCACTCTTTCCACTCTTGTGCTCAAATTATTATTATATATGCACCTATCTTCCCAATGATTCAAATTCTGAGAAATGTGTATCGTGTATAGCCTAGAGGCAAAATTAATCCATTCACTTACTGAACATCTTTAAGTATCAAAATTGTATTTCCTAATGTTTAAGATGTAAAGATGGATACAGCAGTCTCTACAACCCAAGAAGCTCAAAACCAGGGAGGGCACAGTGGCTCATTCCTGCAATCCTAGCATCCTGGGAGGCTGAAGAGAGACGGCCTAGGCAACAAAGCGAGATCTTGATTCTACAAAAAATAAAAAAGTGAGTCTGGCTTGTTGGCACATGCCTGTAGTCACAGCTACATGGGAGACTGAGGCAAAAGAAATCACCTGAGCCCAGAAGGTTGAGGCTGTGGTGAGCTGTGACTGTGCCACTGCACTCCAGCCTGGGTGACAGAGTGAGACGCCAACTTTAAAAATAAAAAAAGCTCAAAACCCAATGAAAGAACTTTACACTACAGCATATTAAATGCTGTTAGGAGTAGCACACAGTAGCCGGGCTCGGTGGCTCAGCCTGTAATCCCGCTCCTTGGGAGGCTGAGGTGAGTAGATTGCCTGAGCCCGCGGGTTCGAGACTCACCTGGGCAACTTGGCGAGACCTCATCTCTACAATAAATCAAAAAATAAGCCGGGCGTGGTAGTGTGCGCCTGTAGTTCCAGCTACTTGGAAGGCTGAGGCGGAAGGATCGCCGGAGCCCAGTGGGTCGAGGCTGCAGTGGCCGGGAGCGGTCACTGCACTCCAGTCTGGGCGACAGAGTGAGACTCCAACTCAAAAAAAAAAAAAAAAAAAGTAGCACATAGTTAAACGGAGCTACAAAAGAATGAGTTGAACTAAGCAGTAAAAAATGAAATAAAAAATAGAAAATACTGTCATAATCCCATAAAGAAACCAGATGTTTGTTAGAGGAACCTATGTGCAAACAGTTTAGTCACCATTAAGCTGGGAAAAACAGTCAACAAGGAGCTTCAGAAGAATACCCTTGAACCCTATACGGTAATTTAAATAGCTCTCAAAATGCAAAATTCAACTTCCTATTTGGAGTTAAAAAAAAAAAACACCACAGCAACAGCAGTAAACTTTAGCAGTGACTTCTGTCATTTCCCTCTTTTTAGAGTGCACAAATCTCAACTCTCAGTAACAAGAAACAACCATACTGTTTAGTAACAAACTTAAGATATTATCAGACTTGTTCTGTAAGTTTGAGCTTCAATTTTAATAAAAGGCTAAAAGAAATCCACACTTCATATACTGTAGGATTTTTTTGTTCACCCATCTCTTGGAATCTTTCCAAAGCAAATCCATGATTCAAAGTTGTTTTATTTTCTTATCATTCTTTAGTTGAGTCTCTCTCATCCATGATTTCAGACCATTTTAGATAATCTCCTTTTCTCCGTATTTTCACGACCATTGTCTTACACATCAAGCAAGGTACAGTTGATCCATGTTTTTAATCATGTCACCCCTTACGGTATCATCTCATCACTATTTCAGTTTAAAGTTGAATAATACAGTATCTTGGATTAGTTTCAAAGTAATAGAGAGGGAGGCATCAAATGAAGTCATGAGAAAACAAGAGTAGCCAGAAAGTGAGGCTCCACGACAGACAGCACAGGTCACACCGTTCTCTTTTTACACGTCTGAAATACATCATTAAAAAGTTAAAGAAAAGGTTACATGAAGATGACTCCTTGCTGATGGTCAGATGTCAAAACTGTGTTTTAGACTGAAGAAAAAAAAGGTCTGGACAAGTTGAGCAACCAAAAGAAAAATGGCTACTGCTGTTTTAAAACACCACATAAAGAGTAACCCAGGAATCTATGAGAAAGGGAAAAAAAAGAAATAGCTTTATTACAGGAAAGGACGAGCCAGTTAAGTAGAGAGAGAACAAAAGAATTTTTTAAAACCACCATTTGCTACCTCCAATGTAGTAAATGATTTAGCCAGGGTGAATCAGTTGATGATAACCAGGAAAAAGATTCCTGGGGAACACAGCGTCGACCCAGATGACTGACTCACTGCAAAGGGGAAAATGAGCCTTCCCCGTGAAGACTTCGGTAGTCATCGCCCGAACCAAGTGATGAAACAGCCACCACCAAGAGGAGAACCCGCCAGAGTGCTGTTGCTGCAGTGAGGCAATGTCATGAAGTAGTCCACATTTAACCCAAACACGATCAAGGCTGAGTACAGATCTCACTAGTCTTCAGGAAATGCCGAAGAGATGAAGGGACAAGTTAACTGACATCTCCAAACCCCTCAAAGCAAAACCACGACAAACAGACCCAGAAAAGTGGTAAGTTTTACAAGACAACTGTCCTTAACTCTTCAAATAGACAACATCCCCCCCGGAAGGGGGGAAGGGGAAATGGGGTGACTACCTAAGGACATAACCAAAGGATTCAAATGTAACCGCAAGGTGGCTCCCGCCTGCCATTCCAGTAATTTTGGAGGTGGAGGCAAGAGGATTGCCTGATCCCGAAGTTCAAGACCTACCTGCCTGGGCAACATGGCGGGACCTCGTCTCTACAATAAATCAAAAAAATTAGCTGGGTGTGGTGACACGCACCTGTGGTTCCAGCTCCCTGGAAGGCTGAGGCAGAAGGGTGGCCTGAGCCCAGCAGGTCGAGGCTGTGGTGGCCGTTAGTGTGCCCCTGCACTCCAGCCTGGGCAACAGTGAGACTCTGATTCCAAAAAAAAAAAAAAAAAAGTAAACCGACAGATCGGAGACTCTGGTTAAAGAAATAGGAAACACATTCTGGGGATAATGGGGGAAAGCTGACCATGGACTCGGTTTTAGAAATACAACACTACTACCATTTTCTTGGCATGGTGGTTATGTACCAGCATTAATGCCCCAATTTATGCAAGGGAATGCTAACTATGTTGCGCGGGAATATGATGTGTCAACCGACTTGCGGACAAATGCTCAGAGGGAAAAGAGGGATAGGGCAAACCTTCACAAACGGGTGGTCGGGGAGAATGGTGCAGCAGCTATCCGCTGCGCTCTCACTTTTCTCTGTGCTAAACTCTGCACAAGAAAACCGTTGGGCGAAATACTTTTTCTATAAATTTCCATCTGCCCCCATTAAAAAAACACCAAGTTCTAAAATTTTCACGGTCACAGCAACACTTCCACGTCTTTACCGTTTTAGGTAAAGGTAAGAATTAGCAACGAATTTCGGACACTTTTTTTGAGTCAGAGTCTCACCCTGTCGCCCAGACTGGAGAGTAGGGGCATGCTCACGGCCACCGCAGCCTCGACCTGGCGGGCTCAGGCGATCCGCCCGCCTCCGCCTCCCAAGCTGCCAAAACACAGGTGCACGCCACCACGCCCGGCTAACTTCTTGATTTACGGTGGAGACGAGGTCTCGCCGAGTTGCCCGGGCTGGTCTCGAACCCCAGGCTCGAGCAGTCCGGAATGCTAGGATACCAGGCGCACGCCCGGCCAAATTTCGAGAACTTTCACGGAAACCTCAGCACGTGCTCTCCCTTCACTTCCGGCGGACGAAGCCCAGAAGGCGGGCGGGCCCGACCGAGACGTCGCGATGCGAGACCC